AATTATTATTATAAACATTTATAGTTTAATAAAAATATAAACAAATCGCACAAAGCGCGGATTGAAGCCTAGTTAGTATAGTAAGCATAAAAATAGGTTATGAAATGATAGATCATAATTGGTTTATTGATTTTAACTTTTCTTCTTGGTATTATTTTATAAATCTATCAAATTAATGTTGTGTATTCGCTAACATTTTATTATTTTAGGTGCATTGTGCCTTTTATTTCATTGTAATTTTGAGTTCTGAACAAGTCAATCTCCTAAGTAGTGAATTATTGATCATCTATAAATCCATGTAATGCAATTAGCTTTTAATTATAATATTGTCAAATTGCTTAACTTATCCTATGAAACTCTTTACGTTTTACTGAATCTATTCTCTCTTAATTACTTTGTAATGGATTAATTCTTTGAGTGTTTACAATCCAAAGAAAGAAATATATTCTGTGGTTCTATTCTATTCTTTCATTACTTTTTTGTGGTTTAAATATTTCTTCAAAACCCAGTCACATCATGCATAGCAAGCGCAACCTAAACCTTTGCTCTATACTGTCTCTCACTCTCAAGGGCTTCATCATTGAATTTGGTTGTCATCCTTTGTCCCAAATTTGTATTCCCTTGGTTTGGTTTCTTTTGATAATTTTTTCCTTTTTACTTCCCCATTTATAATTATATTACATGTTTCTCTTTTCATTTCATATTTAGAACTAAGGAACACCTGCAATCTCTATCTATACAGCAAGAATCCAAGTCCAGTTATCTCTTCCATATGGTAAGTATATTATAAGAAAGTTAATTCTTTGATTATTTGCTAAGGCTTTATGCCAGCCCGACAATATACATTTAGTGTTCATGCTTTCTACCTTACTGTAGTGTGTACCATTCTAGAGAAGATTGCTTGCCTGATCAAGTCTCTGTTTATATATAGCTACTGTAAGGTGTAGAATATGAAATTATAATTATATATGCTTTTCTGTTGTAATTAATATTATATATACTTTTTATACTTTGACAATTTTGTAACGGCAATACGTAATGATTCAAGTACTACTGTAATTGTTCCTTTTCTTCTTAAACAAGGTAATTATGAAGATTGGGGAATTTACATTCAAGACTATCTATTAGCTCAAGATCTTCGGGGCATCCTTGAATCTGGGACAAATATTGGATTTGGTTTCTTCTTCAGACAATGTCGGAAATTGGAGGAAAAAGAATGATGCAGTTCTACATGTGATTCATACTAGATCGTCGGCAGAAATTTTTGTTCAAATAAAGAAATCAGTTCGGCAAAAGTTGTTTAGAATAAATTAGCCAAAATGCATGAAGAGGGGCAATCTAAATCAAAACCAGAAACTGGCGTGGGAGGATCGGATGGTAAGATTGATTTAAAAAAATTTTCAACTAAATTAATTTTATTTTGAGTGAAGTATAATTTGATTATAATTTTTTAATTATTGGTAGGGAAAAAAAATGAGATAATTGAAATGACTTATCATGAGAGATTGGATAGAGGTAAATTTATTGATTTGAACAGTCTCAATTAAACTTATCATAAAGTACTTATAATTTTAATTAGTATATTGATTATTTATAGGGGAAGAATATGAGATGACTGAAGAATCTCGCCTTGTGGAATTGAGAAGGAGCATTTGCAACGGAGATTGGAATGCTGTTGAGCAGTTCTTTGTTTTTGACAAGCATCCACTAGATACAATAATATTATCAGACGAAGGCTACACTGCTTTTCATGTTGCAATACTTGCCGGGAAATATGAGATTGCCGAGAATTTGATAACGATGATGTCGGAAACAGATCTGGAAAAAAGTACTGAGTGGCGCAGTGGTGGTCACACGGCTCTTACCTTAGTTGCAACGACGGGAAGAACACACATGGCAAGATGCATAGTCGAAAAGAGCAGCAAATTACTTGCAATTGAAAATGATCGAGGCTATCTCCCAGTAACTGCCGCATGTGCTGTGGGCCACAAGGAGATGACATACTACCTTTATTCTGTCACCCAACCCAAAATCTTGCTATCAGAAAATGACAAATATGGATTCGATCTCATAAGGGCGGGCATGCATAACAAAATTTTCGGTAATCGTATAATCAAACTTTTTTATTTTATGTGGTGTCTTGTTTGTTATGGATCCAAGATGCATGAGAGGAGTTAGTGGCCCGGCCCACTGCCTCCGCCAGCCACACTAGTAGTAGCTAGATATCTTAGTCGGAAAATTTTTAAAATTAAATGTAACGTTATTTAAAAATAAATCTCTAAAATTTAAATTAAAATTAAAGTTTTACTTGTTTGTGAATATTGTACACATTTTTTTTGTTGTATCATGTTTAAAAATGTAAATTTATTAATTTTAGTTA